TTATTATTATTATTATTATTATTATTATTATTATTATTATTATTATTGCTCAAGAGTATAGTTTCCTGAAATACTACTACTCTTTACTTTATATATGCTTCCATTAGGTAAAGTTATTAAACAGGATGGGATAAATTTTCATAGTTATGCTGATGACACACAATTATATTTGTCCATTAAACCCAATGAATCCAATCAGCTACTTGGACTACAAGCATGTCTTAAAGACATAAAAACCTGGATGACCCTTAATTTTCTCCTATTGAACACAGACAAAACTGAGGTTTTGGTTTTTGGACCCGAGCACCTTAGGAATGAATTTTTCAGTCTTTCTCCCTCCTTAGATGGCATTAATCTGTCCTCCAGCTATAATGTTAAAAATCTTGGTGTTATTTTTGGTCAGGACATGTCTTTTATCCCCCACATTAAAAACGTTACTAGAACCGCCTTCTTCCACCTGCGTAATGTCACTAAAATTAGAAACATCTTATCTAAAAATGATGCAGAAAAACTGGTCCATGCATTTGTCACGTCTAGACTGGACTATTGCAATGGTTTATTATCTCAATGTCCAAATAAGTCTTTAAAACGTCTTCAGCTGATCCAAAATGCTGCTGCCAGACTCTTAACTGGAGAGATCATCTCTCTTCAGTTTTAGTTTCTCTCCATTGGCTCCCTGTCAAATCCAGAATATAATTCAAAATCTTACTTCTAACTTACAAAGTTCTCAACAACCTAGCTCCATCTTCTATTACAGCTCTTATTGTTCCATATTTTCGTAACAGATCACTTCACTCTCAAACTGCAGGTTTACTTATGGTTCCTAGAATTTACAAAAACAGAATGGGAGGCAGATCTTTCAGTTATCAGGCTCCTCTCTTGTGGAACCAACTTCCAATCTCTGTCCGTGAGGCTGACACATTATCCAGTTTTAAAACTAGGCTTAAGACTTTCCTTTTTGCTAAATCCTATAGTTGGGGTGGCTTGGGTTTCCTAAGCTGTCCCTTAGTTATGCTGCTATAGGCTTAGACTGCTGGAGGACAAACTGACCACAATTTTTCCACTCTACTTCTGTCATTACTTACTCTGCTCAATCAGTTTTGTATTTGTAATTTATTTTTTCTATCCTTAACATGAGTTTTTTTGTCTTTCAGGTACACCTGGACCTATACCTGGACCTGCCATTATGTGTTGGGTCTGTCTCTCCTTCCTGACCTCTCAACCGGTCAAAGCAGATGGCCGCTTGTCCTGAGCCTGGTTCTGCTGGAGGTTTCTTCCTTTTAAAAAGGGAGTTTTTCCTTTCCACTGTTGCCACTGTGCTTGCTCAGGATCGGAGACTGCAACGAAGCCAAGATTCAACTTGTCTGCTGGATTCCTTAGAGAACTTTACTAATTGGCTTTTATGTATGTGAATGTTCCTGTAAAGTACCCTGAGACAACTTTGTTGTGATTTGGCGCTATATAAATACACTGAATTGAAATAATTGGGGTGTCAAAGATTAATTTATGGTGGCTGAGGTCACCACCTGGTTCCATCGAAAGAAAGATAAAAAAATATACCACTATTCTTACAGTGCAACTCCTAGCCTCAGTTTGACATGACTGTCAACAAGAAAGAGGGCCGGCAATGGTGGAGGGGGTGTGACAAAGAGACCATCTTAGCACCAACACAACTGGTTTGTTCCACTTTGGAGTAAGCTGTTGGTGGAAGAATCAGTTTTGTGTTGCGAGTTTCCTTGACTGATGAAGCCTTCCAGATCGAAGGCGAAATGTTTCTGCATAAAAAAAAGAGAAACTGTCCAGATGACCTGAATGAAAAATGTTGGATTGTATACCTGGATTATTCAGCATGGACTTTGTTCCTAGCCTCATGATTTAAATATCTTGCACCAAAACATTAAGGTTTTCTTGCATTACTCATTCAATTCCAGTCAAGAAAAATGCAATAAATAAATAAAATTAATTAACTGTAGTGAACTAGACCTCCGGCATCAATCTGCCTCTGAGGACCTTCAGGGGGCAGGAAGTGTTATTTCATTGATTTGAATCCAGAAATACAAATTCTCATCAAGCGACTAATTGTATCCTGAATTAATCAATTGAAAGAACACTCTTCCTTTTTGTATTGTCATTGCTATTTTACAATATCTTGATATCAAAAGTGAGTTTAGTTCATGCCATTTCTGATGTTGAAGTGAACCACTCATTTGAATCAACTGTGAAACAGTATTAATGGTTTTTAAACCTCAGACTTGGATCATACAAGTTAAATGTCTATTTACGAAGCAAGTGTGCATTTACTCTTCTGTCTGTGTGAGGAGTGGACCTGATGTCGGTCAAAAGTCAGAAGACGAGTTATGAGAACGAAGTGCCTTGTTTTTAAAACTCTCAGACAGTAAATAAGAACTGGCTGGCACCTGCTGTCTCTCACTTCTTCAAAATATTTTCCTGTCTGTACTAACAGTTCTTAAAAAACATTTCTGCTGTCTGCTGATTCCCAATAACCCTCTGACATCACTAAAACTACACCCCTGCTGGTTGTGTTAACCAATCAGGAAGTACCAAGTAACAGGAAGTGGATACCCTTTAAAAGTCAACACTTCTTGGAACTATTTAGTCTTCCCAGTCTTTCCAGTCTTCCTGGAACTTTCAGCCTTACTGGAAGATGAGACTCGGTCTGATGGAGAGTCGTACAGGAACTTTCAGTTCTTACTGAAAGTCAGCTTTGGAGTATGGAATTGGACCATGTGCCAAGGGTCCGTCCATTCCAGCAGAGTCCCAGCTGCCTCGCTGTGACCCACCCCGAGCATTAAATGCTCTCAACTTCTAAGGAAGCTTATTCTGTTGAACGGAGTATATGGAACTACTTCGGAAGATTCTCAGCCACCCTAACCGGAGACGCTGAAAAGGTAGCGTGCCAATGGACCTCTGTTCCGGAGTTGATGTATCTTCTGCTCAGGTAACAAGTTGTTCACGCCCTGAGTGTACCAGCGGGCTGAGCTAGGGTCGGAGGAAGGATGCCATTTTCTGGTCCTTACATCTTCCTTCATCCACCTAAACCTCATCTTTAAATCTTTAAACTTCTTTACCCCTTCTCTTTAAACTTCTATTCGCCAGTAAATCAAGTTAAGTGCTTTCAGAGATGAATCATTCTCCATCAGTAATCTTCTGTTGTCTTATTTGAACTTGCCAAGTGTATTAATCAGAAACAGATCAGCCAATCAATGTGTACATGTTTTGATGTTAAATTTTGATTCTGTTAAATAAATGACCGCATTTATTCTGATGGGTCAAAGATAAATTACGTCTCATGTCACCAATTATATACACTCCACTCCACAAGTTATCTTGGTCACGTGACAGAAATTTAACTAGAAAAAAAGAAAGAATCCGTTGTTAAACAATATTCTTTGTGCTTGAAGTAGTTTTAAGAATAATTAATTAGTAGTGAAACTAACAGCCAGCTCACTACATAATTAAATAAATAAAATAAAATTAATTAAATAAATATATAAAAAAAAAAACAACACTATTGAATCCTTCACTGACAGAGGACATCTGCGTACCACTTATTTGAAGACCTCTCATCCTTCAGTTCTTACTGCGAGTTGGGAGTTTCAGGTTCTTCAGTCCTTGTTGGAATGGCTACAGCAGCAGGGCTGTTCGTGCACGTTTCGCTGACCCACCCTCCTCCGTAAAGGAGGTGTTGGGTTTGTTGAATTCTTCCCAACAAGGTCAACAGTGACTTGTTCTGCTTATGTTTCAAGGTGCAAATGCTCTTGAAAAGGGTTTGTGTATGCTAGCTTGTAGGCTTGCTCTAGCACGTGAAAAATAGCAGGAAATAAGACAAATATTGATTTAGTTATATTTACAAATAAATAGCCTGCAGACCAATATAAAAACTTTTTTTTGGTTTGTTTATAGAAAGCTGTTTCTGTGCTGCCTGGTACCAGAATTTGGCCTAGTGGTCAGGGACCACAGTTTTAGTGTATGATAGTTTGATCACGGCTCAACAACTCCACTGATCGGCTGAATATTTCAGAGCATCCCATAATGTCAGCTGAAAGCTCAGTTTGAGGCAGCTGCGGCAGGAGGTTAATTTGTCCAGCCTGAATCACGTTGACAGATCCCAACACTCCCACAGCAATGAGCCTGAAAACATTACCTTCTACAGACTACCATTGTGGCTTCACAGTTATATTAAAAAGCTGATTCTGACCCGTCAACAGTCATTGATAAAGATACAAGTAGCTAAGAACAGAGGAATTTCTGAGTCGTCCTTGTATCCTGTCAGACAGGTCGGGCTACATAAATGATCTCACACGTTCAGGAAAATATTTAAAATCTAGTAAAGGTGTTGGGAAAACCCAGGTTACAGCTCAGAAAGCTTCCCCAAGCTGCCGGGCAAGACGCATTCCTTCAGTTCTGACGTCATCGGATAACTATTCCAGTACGTAAACTGGGAGGTTTTAAAGAAGACTTCTGTGCAGAGATTATTCAACTATTGAACACATTAAACTGAAACCCAACAAGTGGTTCTCAGTTCTTACAAAGTCAGAATCAAAGAAAACACCAGAGAGGAGCTTTGATCGTATTCCTGTCACTCCACAGGATTTATGACCTGAGGAGGAACACTTCCTGCTCTGGGACAATTATTAACTTTATTTATGTGAAGGTTCAAAATCAACTGCGCGCTAATAAAGGATTATGGCAAGTAGCTGCAATCTCTCAGTTTATCAGTTTATTGGTGTCAGAGAACAGGTTCCATAAAGAAACCACTAACCAGTTGTCAAAGTCCAGAAATAAATCAGAGTTAATTCACTAATAACAGTTTGATAAAGATTCAGTTCAGAGCCTGTCCTCCCTGCAGGACTCCTCTTCAGGCAACAGAAAGGGTTTGTAACTGATATTTGTCTGAAGACATGGTTTTAATAAACGCAACGAGCTGCTTTAAGTGTTAGGGCAGTCAAACTGGGACCAGAAAATCATGGGTTTGATTCCCCACCATGCCCATTTGTTCTGGTGTCCTTGGCTCCAGTTCTCACAGGTGTTGGTCAAAATCAGAGGACAAATTGTTTTCATTGGACACACACGCGCGCACGCACACACACACACACACACACCTGCTGCCTTCAAGCCATAGACCACCTCATGTTGTAAAATGTGTGAGTGTTAAAAATGTTAAACATCATCACTCAGAGCGGAGTGATGTGAAGGACTCTCAGCTACTACTCCCAGTATGAGCCCCACAAACTGGTTGAATTCCATGTGGAAGCTTTTAAAGTAGATTAGCTTCAGCAGCCATCTTGATTTGGGTTGCCATGACTTTCTACAAGTTCCTAAAACTCATCCAGCAGCTGTTGAGATATTTTGCTAACGGGCAGCACCCGCCAGGCCTTGGTTTCAGCCAGCGGTGACGTCACACTTACGGTTCTGCGTCGATGCTCTCCACTGGAGCCACGTAGTTGGCCGGGATGTAGCCCTGCTGGGAGGCCGAGACCCCGGTGAGGGCCCTGGCGATCCACCACTCCCCGGGACTCTTGTCCAGGGCCTCCAAGATGTCCCCGGTGTTGAAGCTCAGGTCTTCTTCTGTGCGAGCAGAGTAGTCAAACAGAGCGATGTATCTCTGGACCGGCTGCACCGCGACCGGTGTCGGCGGCAGGGGTCTGCTGATGGCGGAGGTCGGTTCCGGTTGGTGAGTGGAGCCAGGGTCAATGTTGACCCCTGTGTCCTGCTTTTCGGGCTCGGGTTCGTTCGGTTTGAGCCTTTTGGAGCAGCAGGACTCCACCACCCTCTGCCAGCAGGAAGAGAACTTCTTGTGGATGTCCATGATGACCAGTGTCGGTAAATCTCAGCCGGCGCTTTTAACGCTTCAGGAAGTCTGTGCTCGCGCCCTCATCGTCCCAGTGATAACCCAGTTCTCCCGGTTCCGAACCCCATCGCTCTCCAAGCCGCTTCAGCTGTCTGCGGGTTAATGCGCTCGGTTTCCTGGTTCAGGTGGAACAAATCACCTGCACCTGCTGAGGAATGGGGAGCGGCTCGCGCTCAATCAACGCCAAGGTGACGTCACACTCCGTCGTTCCTTCACGTGCAAAGTGCAATCGGATGAGAGAGCCGGCTGGGAAAGAACTCTAATTACTCTGAACTTGTCTGTTTTACGATCAAATGATTTTTTTTTTTTTTACCTTTATTTATACAGGTTAGTCTCATTGAGTCACGAGGACTCGTTTACAAGAGAGACCTGTTTTTTAAATGCATTTATTCATTCATTTAAAAGAAACTAAACAAATGCATCAAAAAGAAAAAAAAAACATTGAATGAAAATGGTGCAGAAAGAAGAAAAAATATATAACATCTGCCCCTTATTTAAAAAAATAACTAAACAAACAACAACTCAGGCCTGAACATCTCCAAAGTGAAAACAAAAATATTAGGTATCCTTCACATGGTGTCAAACTTTTCTAACAATTTTTAACTTAATCATCTTTTTAAACATATAAATTGTTTTAGAAATTTTTATGGTGATATCAAGACAATTCCACAATCCTAATCCCTGAATTACAATGCAGCGCTCCTTCAGACTAGTTCTAAATGGAGGTTTTACAAACATTTCCATTCCCTTAAGGTTATAATGACTCTTTTTTTAACACATTTTAATTGAATATTTGGGGGTAATACTTTTTATGAGCTTTATACGTGACTTGTAAAATACTATATTCAACCAAATCATAAAATTTTAATAATTTCAAGTGATGAAATAATAAATTTGTTGTGTGACCATAGCACTTCCTACTAATAATTCTTATATCTCGTTTTTGCAAAATAAAAATAGGATTTGTAATTGTTTTGCATGCTTTTCCCCAAACTTCAATACAGTAGATTAAATATGGAACAATCATTACATTACACAATATATACAAAGCTTTGTCATTCAAAAACTATTTTACTTTATACAGTAATGCAATTGATTTAGCTATTTTTATTCTTAAGTAATTTACATGAGATTTCCATGTCAGCTTCTCATCAATAACGACACCCAACAATTTTATTTCAACTCTATGAATTTCAATACTGTCAGTTTTAAATGGGATTTCGATCATTTTCTTTCTATTACTAAATATTGTGTAGTTTGTTTTTTTCCAAATTTAATGATAACTTATTAAGTTGGAACCAAGTTTGTATTTTTACGAAATCTGCCTGTATCATTTCTAACATCTGTTCAATATCTTCTCCTGAACAAAACAATGTGGTATCATCTGCAAATAAAACACACTTCAAAAGACCTGACACATCAACCAGATCATTCACATACAAAATAAACAACTCTGGTCCCAACACAGAGCCCTGAGGAACTTCACATCCATTAACACAAAATTCTGATCTTACATCGTTTACCTGTACAAACTGTCTCCTATTATTCAAATGACTAGATACCCACTGTAGTGCTAATCCTCTAATGCCATATTTATTCAGTTTTTCAAGGAGAATGGTGTGGTCAGTTGTATCGAAGGCCATTTTTAAATCAACAAAAACACTAACACAATACTGTTTTGATCAACAGTTACCTCTACTATTAGTTCCATGAGAGTCATTGATGTTGAATTATTTTCTCTAAACCCATACTGACTATTACTTTAATATTTTGTTTATCTATAAATCTATCTAATCTGGTTAAAATAATGTCTCTAATATTTTTGAAAATTGTGTCAACAAGGATATTGGTGTGTATTTAGTGAACACACATTTCTCACATTTAGACTGACAACTGTTGAGGAAAATTAACACAACAACTCGGACTTTTCAGCCTATTCACCTGTTCCTCTCATTGGTTCGGAGATACATGGAGAAAAGACAGAATAATCAGTCAGAGAGATTCAAGTTAAAAAGTATTACCAACATTTATTAAAGCTTTCAGCTGAAAGGAGACGCTCTTACCCCAAACCGACAGAGACACAGCAAAAACCCAAGACGTGTCTGACTGGAGCTTCAGCATCTCCTGTATTTAAACACAAAAGCTCAATCCAGAGATGTGTCACACATTCTTAAGTTCTTTGTCTAAGCTAGTTCAAACTGATGTCTTCATTTCCTGGAAGTCCTTTAATGGAGTTGTTTTATTATTTTTTTCTGCCGTTCCAGTTTACTTGGTGATCTTGTCATCAGGTGGAACACACACACCAGCAGCTCCCTGTTAGTTCATGTCCCATACACAAAAAACTTAAATACATTCTCTGACTTAGTTCACTCTGTACTTGTTGATACCAAAAGGCAAGCGGATCCAAAAGCCAAGCAGAAACAGAAGCAGGACATTTTACCTGCAGTGTTCCCTCAATGAGGACTGAACTAGGCAAGAGGGCCTTCTCCTACTCCGCTCCTGTTTCCTGGAATACCTTACAAAAACAATTGAAGCTCTCGACCTTGACCTCTCTAAGTGGCTTTAAGAATCTGTTGGACTCCTGGCAGGGACCAATGCAGACATGTTCCTGTTTTTAGTTTTCTACATTCACCTTAGAATCTAGCTGTTTTTTTGTTACTTTTTTCTTTTAGCCATCCTATTTGTTTAAAAAAAAAAAACCATTGTAGTATGACTTTTTATAACTGTTTATTGTTGTCGCTGTTGTCCATTGTTGTCATCATTCTTTGCTGAAATCAGGTCTCTCTTGCAAATGAGTCCTCGGGGCTCAATGGGATTTAACTGTCTAAATAAAGGTTGAATGAAAAGAAACAGATAAAGGACAAGATACAGTTGTGATACATCGAACAATACAGCACATCAGATAAGAGCGTCTTTACACAACATATAGAGCACAGACAACAATGTACAACAATAAAAATTAAAAGTAGCATTATAATAAACTCAAGTTGCTCAAGGACGCCACCATATATGGGCATGGTTGGTTGTTGCTGTTGTCCATTGTTGTCATCTTTCTTTGTTGAAATCAGGTCTCTCTTGTAAATGAGTCCTCGAGGCTCAATGGGATTTACCTGTATAAATAAAGGTTGATTGATGGTAGGGAGTTGAACCTGACCTTCATGGTTCTAGGTGGATGCCCTGCCTCTACACACTATCTCAGAGCCAAATATCTATGGGCTTCACCTTCTGAAGTGATTTACAAAACATTTTGAACTTTTTCACGGTATTTACATTTTTTCAGATGTACCTGTATATGCTGGGAATCAATGTCAGTTACTACCACACCAATCTGTACCTCAGTATCTGGAAAACTGAACAAAATACAGTTATTTTGTGGTTTGTTCTCAGTTGGCTGTGGAAGTCATTTTTAACTGAGTCCATTACTAAAGCTATTCCGTTCTAGATGCAGACCCAGTGATGATGTTCCTAACAAAGAGTTTCATAATAATTTTCTGGGTGTTTTATGAGATAACAGACGCACAAACATGGACAACAACAATGTTTGTTTTCCAGGAGCAGGTGATGATGATCCATTTCATTGTACAACACACTTTTTGTACATCTTGCTTCTACAAATTGAAATAGTCAGTCATCCATTTAAGAAAGCAGCTGCTTAAGGCCTGAATGATTTCTTTGATCTAATTTATTTCGTACCTTCTGGTAAGCAGCATGGATGTGTCTTATCCCTCATAACGACTGCAGCTTGAAAATTTCTCTTAAACTGTCCCAATTTTTTCTTATGCCATCAATCCTGCTCCCCTCATTCCACTTCATTGTCTCTTTAATTCACCACTTTTCTGCATGAAAAGGCTTGATTTATTTGGCTTTCAATGATCGGAGACAGTAAATTTGTGGGGAGAGCAAAGTGTTTAGGAGCTTTACATAAACTCTGACACAGACAAATGGATTGGGCTGGATCAGATGACTCGTCTGGTTTTTGGAGGAGAATAGCAAAAGCATCTTTACAGCCTTTGCGTCTTGCTTTTTTCTTCAGGTTGATAGTGACATCTGCTCTTATTATTGTGGCAAACAACGAGCAAACCAAGCTGACTGTAAAAAAATCACAAGTGCTATAATAAAAAAAATGTTAACACTTCCTGTATACCTTACCTCAAAAGGAAATAAATCAATTATACTCTCACTGGACACTTTGTTAGGTCTATCTAGCTCGCACCAGGTGGGAAAGCTCTCAACAACCTAGCTTCATCTTATGTTACAGATCTTACTGTTCCATATTTTCCTCACAGAGCACTTCGCTCTCAGACTGCAGGTTTACTTGTGGTTCCTAGAGTTTCCAAAAGCAGAATGAGAGGAAAATCTTTCAGTTACCAGGCTCCTCTCTTATGGAACGAACTTCCAGTTTCTGTCCGTGAGGCTGACACATTGTCCAATTGTCCATTGTTTTAAGACTGAGTTTAAGACTTTCCTTTTTGATAAATCCTATAGTTAGGGTTGGCTTGGTTTCCTGAGCGTTCCCTGTAATATACTACTATAGGCTTAGATTGCTGTGAGACACACTGACATTTCCTCAAATGAAATGAATACAAATGAATAGTTTGTATTTGCAATTAATTCTATCGTAATATCCAATAATTCTCAGTCAGGTCGACAGTTTCTTTTTATAGAGGCGTTTCGCCCTCTATCCGGAGGGCTTCATCAGTCTGAGGAGTTCCAGTAAACTGTTTCCCCACCAAGCAGTAAACTTCTTAAGTGGACCAACCAGTTTGCTGGAGCTAAGATGGTTTCTGGGGGCTGTCCTGTCCCCGGTCGACTCCTCCCATGCAGACAGCCACAGCCAAAGTGGTTCAAGGCAACAAAGTTCATGCTTTAGGCTTACTCCTCAGACAGATGAAGCCCTACGGATAGAAGGCAAAATGTCTCTATAAAAAAGTAACTGTCCAGATGACCTGACTGAGAATTATTGGATTTGATACCTGGATGAATGAGCATAAACTTTGTGGCCTTGAACCACTTTGGCTGTGGCTGCCTGCCTGGGGGGAGACAATCTGGGACAGGACAGCCCCCAAAAACCATCTTAGCTCCAGTAAACTGGTTGGTCCACTTAAGAAGTTT